CTCCAGCCAAGGTATGCGCAGAGCCTGCAGTCCGACCAGGAAGATTCCATCGATCGTGGCCCATTTCAACAGCAGCCAGGTTGAATCCAAGTCATCGGATGCGGTCAAGGACTCATAAATCCTCCAGGCATTCAAGGCAAAATATATTGCAACGACATAAAGTCGTTGAGAGGGAGCATCGATCACATTGGTGGGGATCAGTGGCACATCGTTCGGATTTGGGGGTGGTAGTCTCGACGCTTTCGAGGCCGATTTGGATGCTGATCTGAGTGGCGTTCGCACAGCCCGGGGCTCTCGCGGCTGCGATCGCGAAGGAGTCTCAAAGAGCTTTCTCCTTCCAGTTCCAGGGATTGTTTTTGGCGTCTGCGGAAAGGCAGACGGGAGGAGGGGAGTACCGTTCATGGCATGCTGTGGTTGCCGGAGCTGGCGAAAGATGGGGGATGTAGTTAGGGCGCAATGGTGCTCCTTCAAAAGCTGTAATATGGGTTAAAAGAAGTTGAATGAAGCTGTATGAAGCTGTATGAAGCTATCTGGGCAATTCACGCCTATAGCAGATAGAAAAAGAAAGAAACAAAAAAATGTTGGAGACGCGGGAATCGCGTCGGGAGAAGCTCGGCCCACTGATGACCTCTTCCCTCTTCTATGTGCTATTGTTGACTACATCGACTACGTTGACTACGTTGATTACGTTGATTACATTCTATCATTTACTTGTTTCTATAAAAGATCTTATTTCTATTTCCTTCAACAGAAAAGAGCCAAAAAAAACACTATTATCATCTCAGGACTCCTTTTATCATAGCTTCACATTTCAATCTCATCCTGAAGCCCTTCACCTCTTCAGCTTTACAACTCCCTGCCTCTATTTTTTTTTTTTTAAAAAAAAAAAAAAAACACACAAAAAGAACGAAGAAGAAGAAGAAGAGAAAAAAAAAAAAAACCAACATGGGTCCTCGAGTCAAAAGGCGCCGCCTGACGGATCCAGAAGATCTCAGCGACGATATCTGTCAGCCTGCGTCCCGTTCGGAAAAAGACAGCTGGAATGGATTTTGCGAAATCGAATCAGAACCGGTATGTGTGTGCCTGAAAATGGGACTGGCGGCTCCTTTCTTACAGAGATTTAGGCCTTGTTTAATGTGATGCTACGTGACTTTGGGGTCAAGGGCGTAAAGATCCAAGAAGTCGTTTCTCTTGATGAAGAAATGATGGCGCTCCTTAAGTATGTTGCTTGAAGCCCCTCACTGTGCTCTTATATACAAACTCGATAGCTGACTATGAGCAGTAATCCCGTTTATGGCTTGATCTTTCTCTTCCGCTGGCGTGAAGATAACGATGGAAAGCAGGAAGCAACTTGCCCTGATGGACTGTGGTTCGCAAACCAGGTCAGTCCCCTACCATTTTGCTGAATGCGTTCCTTACTGATTATATATTTATAGACCGCCAACAATGCTTGTGCCAGCGTAGCACTACTAAATATTGTCAACAACATCCCGGGTATTGATCTGGGAGAGAATCTACGGTCCTTCAAGGAATTCACTATGCCTTTCACCCCAGCCCTGCGTGGAGATGCAATCAACAACTTTGAGTTCGTCAAAAGAATACACAACTCATATGCACGGTATGCCATTTGGATTTGATTTTTACCACTCAAATACTGAAAAGACTGACTCAATATTAGAAAAATGGACATTCTTAATTCAGATCTGCAGTTGAAGACTGAAGCCACCACTAGGAAGAAAGGGACCAAAGGCCAGGCTGCTGAAGAGTCTGATGCTACCTTCCATTTCATTGCATTCATGCCTGTGATGGGTCAGCTGTGGAAGTTTGATGGGTTGGAGCGACAGCCGCGAGCACTTGGTAATGCACTACAATAAACATGATGGGATGACCTTGCTAACTCTAGTAGGGGAATGCTCTGAAGACGACTGGCTGGAACTGGTCAAGCCCAATCTTCTGGATCGAATGGCTGCATACGAAGAAGAAGAGATTGAATTCTCAATTTTAGGACTCGTGCGGGATCCTCTACCTGATCTCATCCACGACTTGGCTGTCAACGTGAGAACTTTGGAAATTCTCAACGAGCGCGCCACGGCCCTGTGCCCATCATCAGATACACTCGCTTTGGATGAAATTATCCTTGGTCCTGACCCTTCCCTATCTCTGACACGTGAAGATATCGATGCGGCAGTGATCCCTCAGGTAACCCTCGATGACTATCAGACATGCTCCGATGAGAAGCTGCGGGAGTATCAGCAGATGATCAGCCGAGTACAACGAGGACTTCGTGCACGTATTCGTGAAGAACAGCAGTCCCACCGGTCGGATGACGAGTATGCAGCCGGACGGCGGTTTGACTATGGACCAGCGGTACGGACGTGGCTTCGACGCTTGGCGCAGAAACAGCAGTTGCAGGAACTGTCCGCCCTCGTGGCCTACTGATTGGATGACCTTTGAATATCAAATCCCGTTATACCTCGGATATTCCTTCTCCCTTTTTTCCCTCTCCTTTTTCCTATCTTAAGATGACCATATGGATTCGGGGTTCTTATCTGGTGACGTAGTGAAATGACCTCCTTTTTAAATCACTTCACTTCAATATATCTCTGCAAGGTGTTGAGAATAGTTCTTAATATATATGTAGGCAGTCACCATTCTAAAAATAAACTATATAAGCCCATATAAGCCCATATAAGAAACATAAGAAACATAAGAACAAGAATATCATCGTCAAAAATATTTAAACTTGGAAAATTAACGCCTGAGGTACCCCACTCCGGGCAAAAAATAGTTCAAACGTCACCGCCTCGAATGTTGTTGAGTTGCTTCTTCTTTCCAACCTCCTTTTTTGGTTGTTTCTGTGACTTGCGTGAGATTCTTGCGGACCTTGAACCTCAGTATTGCCTTGGTTTTCTTGTTTCGGTATAGAGGCTGGCCCGAGAGACACTAAAACCCCCCTCATCACCGACCTCTTTCAATTTGCCACCCTTTTTCTATTCGACTGAACGCCTATCTCTCTCTTTATCTTTATAAATCCTCACTTGAACACACACCATGTCTGCCACCGCAGTGCCTGAAAAGGCTCCAGATGATTCTTCCAAGCTGAAGACTTTCCTCTCCATCCTTCGAAAGTAGGCAACCCTTTCTTGGCTCCCCGCACCGCCTGCGCTGCGCAACACAGATAACCAAACGCCAGACGCTAATATGAGTGGGAACTAGGTTCGTCGGTGTGGCAGATATCGCTTCCGTTCGTTTTTCACTGCCAGCGCAACTGTTGGAGCCTCGACCAAATCTAGGTAGGTCATTATCCGTGTTACGCTGTGCGGGGTTGGTGCTGACTGTGGATGGTGACAAGAATACTGGCATTACTTGGATCGACCGGAGACGTTTGCGAGGTTAGCAAATGTGCCCATATTTGGTGGAAGCTTCTGTGCTGACCCAAGAGCTACAGCATTGGCAAATCGGATGATGAGCTAGGTCGAATGTTAGAGGTGTTGCGGTTCTGGTTTACTAAGGATCTGGTATGTTTCGGCTGCTCAAATTTCATCTAACCACTTACTGATCTTGCGGGTAGAAATACGTCAAGGGGAAACCGTGCAAACCATACAACTCAACTTTGGGTGAATTCTTCCGAGTGAGTACCAGTGTCTTCGGCATTTCATTCACGGCCATTGCTAACACCCTTTAGTGCAGCTGGGACGTTAGCGACAATATTCCCGAGGAAGGAAACCTCCCCGGCATCAAAGCAAGCTCCAATGGCTCCTCTACCGTAACCGACGGCGACGAGAAAGTCAAAGTATGCTACCTCACAGAACAGACCTCCCACCATCCTCCAGTATCAGCATTCTATATCGACTGCCCCGAGCGAGGCGTCTCAGCGCGCGGATTCGATCAGATCAGTGCCAAGTTCACCGGCACCAGTATCCGCGTGAGCCCCGGCCAGCACAACCTTGGAATCTTCGTCAATATCGAGAAGAGGGACAATGAGGAATACCAGTTAACTCACCCAAACGCTCACTTGGGAGGAATACTGCGTGGAGCACTTTCAGTCACAGTCGCGGACACATGTTATGTCACCTGCCCCAAAACGGGCCTGAAGGCGATCCTGCAGTACTTGGAAGAAGGCTGGATTGGTCGGTCACAGAATAAGCTTGAAGGTGTGATCTTCCGCTATAACCCGGACAAGGATACGATCGTTCGACTGAAAGATGTACCGGAGAGCGATATCGTCGCTCGCATTACCGGTTCTTGGCATGGAAAGATCTACTTCACCCCGGCGGGCACCAAGGAGCCCCGCCTGCTCATCGACATCACCCCGCTTCACCCTGTCGCAAAGGACCTACCTCCATCTGAGGAACAGCTGTCCAACGAGTCATTGAAGTTCTGGTCGGGTGTCACAGACGCCATTGTCGAGAAACAGTTCAACCAGGCTACCAAGCTCAAGCAGGATATTGAGGAACGGCAACGGCAGCGGGCTGCGGAGCGCCTTGAAAAGGGCACTGAGTGGAGTCCCCGGTTCTTTACTGGCGCGGTGACACCGCTGGGTAAGCCAGAGCTCACCGAGGAGGGACAAAAGGTTCTGGAGGGGATTCGCACGGGCGAATTCGCTTTGACAGAAAGTACAGTGCAGGGCGCATAGGTATAATTGTGTTCTTCCCTTGACAGTGTAAGCAACTTTGGCGTATCTGGCATGCGACCATACAAACATTGAACTCGGCGTCTCTTTGCTATGATCTTTTGATCTCTCTTTTTTTTGGTTATACTCTCATTCTCACATACTTAGACATTATTCCCTAGAAACCTGTTTCGTGAATAGCTGCAGTGCCATTCTATTATGGTAATTACAAAATTGAACAGAATAGTATATCATAACATACATAGGATCAATAGAACGATTAATCCTATTCATAAAAAAAGAATTACAGCCTCTTGCCCAAAAGAATAACGCCGCCAGACTCCAATCATCAAGTACATCGACACATAATCCATCTCAGAGATCAGCCTCAGGCTGCGGCACTGACAACCTTGAACCCTGTACTGATGGTCTTGGTAATCTCCTCATTCTTATGCGGCAGAAGAGACAGGGCATACGCAACATCATTCCACTGTCGCTCGGTTTCGCAACGAGGAAGTCGAGCGGCTAGCTTATCAGCAAGCTGACGAGCGTGTTTTTCCTGGGCCAATATTAGCACGGATCATTAGAAAGTTAAAGAGGGAGGGGGGGGAACATACCTTCTCGATGAAACCGATCAAGAATTTGACGATACGGCGGAGAGACGCTTCATCCAGGTTGCGCTCTGCACTCAACAGACTGAACATGTCAACAAAGTGGTTGTACACGGCATTGTCCTTGGTTGCCAGTTCTGTGAAGAACATGCGAGCCAGATCAGCGATCTTCTTGTCATCATCCTCCAGACATTTAGCCATCTCGCCCAGTTGTCCTTTGACCTTGACCTGGCCAGCCAAGATGAGGAAGGTAAGGGTCATGAGACAGGTCCGCTTGACGGAGTCATCATCATCATTCAAACGACGGTAGAGGAAATCGGTGTTCTCATCAATGAGGTGATTGAAACAAACGGCCATGTCGCCCAGCGCAATCACAGCATTGCTACGAACAATAGGATCTTCGGACCGCTCCATGATAGTGATGAGGAGTGGCAGGTTCTTCTCACAGTACTCGGCAGACACGCACATGAGTTTGGCAAGGCATAGGGTCGCAGAAGCCTGCAGGTCACGATCTGGGTAGGAGTTGTTGTTGGCTAAAATCTCCACTACTAGCGGGCCAAATTTAGCCAAGAGGGAGTTCTCTCCATAGAGTAGCTCACGTTCTCGGATATGGGCCATGGCATCCTGGAAGTCGTCTTCTGTCGTTCCGCCAATAAGATCAAGTTCGTCTTCTTCGGCGTTGTCTTCTTTCTGAGGAGCAGTGGCGGCTTTGTTTTTCTCTTGTTCGACTTTGCGGCGTTTGAAGTCGAGCTCACACAGCTCCAGATGCACAATCTGTTTGATTGCAACGTGGCCAACAACGTACAGCAGCTGCGCGAGTGCAGCAGATGCTGGCTTGGGCTTGGGTTCCTGACCGTCAGTGGATGCAGTGCCAGGTCGTTGTTGCTCCTCATCTCCGCTGACAGAGGCATGGGAGGAAGGTGGGCGTTGTTGAAGGTGTGGCGCAAAGACGAATCTCGTCTTTCGCCGGAGGATATCAGAGCAAAGAACGTCGGGGTGCTTGGACAAAGTGTAGATGGCGTTGAGCGCGTGCTCTGCCACTCCATACCATTCCTTACTAGCTGTCTCGATCTCAAGCATAGCCACCAGCTTGACCAAAACAGAGTGATCGCTGGCAAGTTTGGGAATGCCAACAACCTCCTTTGATTTGGCTTGACGTCCAGGGATCATGCGCCGCAAAGCAATACATGTGTACTTAGCGAGCACAAGGTCGGCCCTTCCAAAGCCACCCAGACCGATTCGCAGCATAGCCTCAATCTCCTTCACCACAACCTCTGGGTCTGCCAGGGCAAGCATTCCGAGGACAATGATTGAGCCCCTGCGTTGAGTCCGTGAGATTTCCTTCTTTTGGATACTGTAAACTTGCCATAGCTTGGCAATGACTGCATCGGATACATTTCCAGCCTTCATCATCGTGCTGAGCAACTGCTCGAGGCAGGTCAGTTCTGCGGGAGTTGCACCAAACGTCAAACTGATCATGTTGCGGGCGATGTAGTTCGCAGCATCGTTGGGGGTGAAAGAGCCTGGTGCATCGAAGAAGAGACCCTTGTAACAATCAATCAGATGTGTCTGGACGCCCTTTCCTTCGTCGCTGTTGCCCTTGGTCCAAATCAGGCGCAGCATACGGCGAATCCCACTACGAGCAGTCTCAATTTTGTATGCATCGAGAACGACAAAGAAATCCATGGCTTCAATAACTTCACTCTTGTTCCGGGATGAAAGCAACTGTGTGACAATGGTGGATCCGGAGTGAAGCACTTCAATGAACCGGATGGCCTCGTTGTAATACTTCCTCGTTAGTTGGAGGCGTGTCATTAATTCAGAGGTGGCCGCCTGTTCTGCGGCTTTCCGCACAGCGGCGGCCTTCTCTTCATCGCTCATCCGGGGCGCTTTCGATGGAGATTCATCTGGGATCTGTGTGGCGTCGTCCAACAATTCGGGATCAACCTGGGTCATATCAACCCCCTCAAAACCGGGCGTCTCAGGAGGACGCAGGGCATTCAACTCGGCGTCAACCGTGTCCAGTCTATCTGTCCACTCCTTGTATGAGAGGAGCCCACCATGCATAACACTGAAAGGGTGTGTAGAAACAAGCTTGGACAGTAGTTTGATCGCATTGCGTCGTACATTGCTGCTCTTATCCTCCAAGCTTCTGGCAGCAAGTTCTGCTGCAGCCTGTCGCCTCTTCGGGAACTTCTGCTCCAAATCGCAGATTCGCATGAATACCTGGATTGCGCGACAGCGGCAGTAAGGGTTGATATCAAGGAATCTTTCTTCTAGTACGTCGAAAAAGGCGTTGATCTGGGTCTTATAATTATCACTGCGTTCCTCCTGTCGGCTGAGATCGGAAATGAGGTTTCCGCAGACCTCGATCACTGCACAGCGGAGAGTATATGCCTGTACTTGTTAGTGGAGCTTTGGGAAAACTGTAAGTGTCACGTACGTCACTATCGAGCTGTTTGGCCAGAAGGGTCATTTGCTTTATGATCAATCTGGGAGCAAGCTCGGACAGCTTGATAATAAATGTCGATACGGACTTGGGACCTCTCGTATCATTCGAATTAAACTCCTTGTTTCCAAGCTCCCTGCATGTACAGTTAGCAACTATCCGACCAGTTTGCTGATATAAATCTCACTTCAGGATCTCGTCGGAAAGCTGTGGATAGTCGTATTGTTCTGCCAGAATATGGAGGAATTCGGCCATGGGCTCGGAGAGATGCTCAAAGTAAGTCAAGCTCTGCACAATCGAAGTTTGAGCTCCTATGCTACAAGTCAGCTATCGCTCAACCGTAATACAAATCAGGACACCTACCAAAGGCTTGGCCATGATGCTTGACTGCGATGCAAAGAACCTTGAAAGCATGCATGCGAATGGCCATGCTCTTCACCCGCTGCTCGCTCTCGAGGACCAGGTAGATTGTGCGCGTGAATAGGGTAACAAAAGTGTCACGATCCGAAGTAGTCAAAAAAATACGTCCTAGCTTGAGCTTCATCACCTTGCACATGGTCTCCATGGATATTTGGATCTGGGGCGTCCAATCCCACTGGCCGTTATTCGCAGATTTCTTCGATTTGGGTCCTCCTCGTCGCACGGGTGCTGCTTCAGTGGGCTTCTCTGCGGCCTTGACCTCTACGGCAGACAAGGCCCACTGGAGAAGGAACCCGTACATCTCCAGAAGCTGCTTATGGTGTTGAATGGCATCCTGCTCGTCGGATTCAAGGTCACCATGGATGATATCCGCCTCAACAGACAGGCCTGAAACAACCAAATCCAAAAGTTTGCTGAGGTACTTTGCAGGAAGAAGGGTCGCGTATCTGCAAGAGTGAAAGGGATCGTCAGATTCGAGTTCAGGCGGGCGCCAGCCTCCATGGGCAAGTTGGGAAGGAACCGGTGCGCACTTTAGTAAAAATTGTAGCGAGTCAAACAATGAGGCTCGTGTTAATCCTTCAGGGTTCTCCGCCACGGCATCCACGATCGGGTTCAAGATGCTGTCAATCAGCGCTGGCGAAAGTTGATCAGGATCCGATTCGCAATCCAGCAGTTCCGGGTCCGCATCGGGCGTCGGGATCGAAGCGGGATCACTCAAGTAGTACTTGAGCGATTCATTTATGTTGAATTCTATTCTGTCCTCCATTGTGGTTAACGAGAGAAAAAAGAGGTGAAAGCGGGGAGGAAAGCCGATTTGTTGATAAGCTCCATTTGTTTGGCTTTTGCCCGTTTTGGTTCAACTTATGTAATCAGTCGGTCATTTTAGGGAATTGCTACAGACACGGCACGTTTTGCTAGTAGCACGGCACATTAGGTAATATTCCCTTTACATAATCAATTTTGACCGAGATCGTTACCATACATTACCACAGCAACTACATTACTTACTACTGTAGCAACTACATTCTATCTACTTCTGCTATAAGAACCACTCTATCTTCTCATTGATCTTACTTCATCCAATTGATCTTACTTCATCCAATTGATCTTACTTCATCCAATTGATACTTGATTTCACCTAATCATGGAGCCACCAATTGAGCAAGTCTTTGAGACTAGAGAGCAACTCCTTACTTCGATACGACAGCATGCCCTATCTCATGGTTATGCTATCACTATCATCAACTCCGCTAAGGAGAGGAATATTTGTCTTGGTTGTGATAGAGGCGGTATATACCATGATCATATTGATGCCCCAGAAGGGGCAAAACGCCGGAAGACAAGTACTAGACGGATGAACTGCCCATTCCGCCTTTATGCAAAGAAGCTTGTTGATACTAATCAATGGGAAATCCAGGTAAGAAATCCTAATCATAATCATGCAGCTACTAATAATATGATAGGGCATCCTATGGCAAGGCGTCCACAGCTTACTAAAGATCAAAATCAAACTATTGAACATCTATCAGATATTGGATCTCGACCGCAGCATATTATAAGTCTATTAAGAAAGGATCAACCTGATATCTTAATAAGACCAAAAGATATTTATAATATAAGAGGTAGTATAAGACAGAAAAAGCTTAGGAATCACTTACCTCTTGAACTTCTTCAACAGATATTAATTCAGAATCAATGGAAATATGCATTTAAACAAGATATAGAAGGTCATGTTCAATTTTTTATGTTCGCTCACCCTGAATCAATTAAGTATGCTAATCAATATAATAGGGTCTTTTTATTAGACTGTACTTACAAGACGAATCGGTATAAGATGCCTCTTTTACATATTATTAGTCTCTCGCCATCGAATTCATCCTATAGTATTGCTTTCTGCTTTATGCAAAATGAGCAGGAAGAAAGCTATAAGTGGACTTTACAGACTTTTTTTTCATGGCTTGACCCCTTACCCTTTTCTCCAGTTCTTTGCACTGACAGAGATCTTGCTTTATTAGGTGCAATTAAATCTATCTGTCCTAGAAGCCCACATCTACTATGCATTTGGCATATTAATAAGAATGTGCTGGCAAAGACAAAGCAATATTTCTCTTCAAATGAGGAATTTGAGGCTTTTATCAAGTCATGGAAAGAGCTAATTAATTCATCAAATATTGATGAATATAATGCTCAATTAGCTAAGTTCACAACGCAGTTTAATCAAATTGCCCCTAATGCTCTTAGATATATTCAAAGTACTTGGCTAACCTATAAAGAGATGTTTATTAGGGCTTGGGTAGGGCAATATCTTCATCTTGGTAACTGGGCTACATCAAGAGTGGAGGGGTCTCACGCTTTTTTAAAAAGTATATAGGGGGATCTTCAGGTGATATGCTTCATGTTTTTGAGAGAATTAATAATGCTTTACAGGCTCAGTATCAGCGACTTGAATCTGATCTTGCAGAAGATAAGATTAAGAGACTAAATTTCTGCTCCCACTTTCTCTATTCGAATATTATAAAGAGAACATCACGATATTCAATATCTTTGATCTCTAATCAAGCTGCTATAGCTAAGAGAGCTACCCCCGAAGCACCTTTATCAAACTGCACTAATATATTCACTAGGACAATGGGCCTTCCGTGTGCCCACCGAATCGCTAGTTTATTAACAAAACATCAACCAATCCCACTAAGCGATATCCATCAATTTTGGAGGATTGGCCTTAGTAATGAGTCATCTATGTATCTGCCAATACTAGATCCTCTATTACCACCACCAACTCGCAGATCAGCTCAAGAGAACATATCAGATCAAAACATCAAAACATCAAACCAAAAGGTCACTAAGAAGAAAGCACCCTCGAAGTGCTCAAATTGTGGAGAAATTGGCCATACAATCCGCTCCTGCAGAGTGTGAAAAGCATGTAAATAAGATGAAAAGCACAATAAGATTGACTAGAGAGAATTGATTCATGGTCGGGTTCTTATAGTAATGAAGCAGTAGTAGATAGAATGTAGTTGCTACAGTAGTAAGTAATGTAGTTGCTGTGGTAATGTATGGTAACGATCTCGGTCAAAATTGATTATGTAAAGGGAATATTACCTAATGTGCCGTGCTACTAGCAAAACGTGCCGTGTCTGTAGCAATTCCCGTCATTTTACCGCGAAATCCTGCAGACCCCTCCACGGTTGTTTCTCACCGCCTTGTATTGATCGATTTGCCCGGCAATTGTATTGTCATATTTGTCACCGCATGGTAATTGTTGTGATTGGCAATTGCGATAAACATTCAAAGAACTTGACCTTGACCTACACGCGACACGATCTTATGACTTTGTTTTTCCACTTCATTACACAATAGATCCAACTCATAGACTCATCATTGTCGTCTGTGCCACCATGTCGGGTCTCCGCGCTGCCCCGGGCGTATTTGAGCTAAAGCGCAGCAACTCCTTCCAAGAGCACAAATACTCGCTGGGACATGATGACGAACCAGTTTCACAAAGTGACGCGCACCAGGAGAGTGATTACGAGGAAGAGGTAGAAGAATCGGTCAGAGAGGATATGAGAAAGCTCGAGGACACATTCCCAGGAATCTCAGATCGGTTTCGTCTAGTGAATAGAATCGGAGAAGGTATGACTAGTGCAGCCGTTATTAGTAGGCCTCTTTACTGACAGGCCTAATAGGTACATTCTCCACAGTCTACAAAGCAGAGGACCTTCATTATGATGCACACCAAAACGACTGGGATGTTTCAACACCAGCCCAAGATAACTATGCGGAGCCTCCATCCAAACGACGGCGAGTGGAAGACGAGCCAACAGGGCGGAAAAAAACAAAATTCGTTGCGTTGAAGAAGATATATGTCACGAGTAGCCCGCTGCGGATCCAGAACGAGCTGGAACTGTTGCACGATCTCCGAGGATGCGGGTCTGTCTGCCCGCTGATCACTGCTTTCCGATACCAGGATCAAGTGGTAGCTGTATTGCCCTATTTCCCCCATACCGACTTTCGCATTCAATACCGCACCTTCATGGTTGCAGACATGCGCCATTATCTACGATCCCTCATGACTGCCTTGAACTCGGTACATGAACATGAAATTCTTCACCGAGATATCAAGCCAACGTAAGTGTGTCATTACCGGTGACCTGAGTTATACTAATGTCTTCTAGCAACTTTCTCTACAATCCAGACCTGAAACAAGGTGTCCTGGTTGACTTTGGGCTTGCAGAGGTATGATTCGTTGTTGCCATATGTTGATGCGCTTACTGACTGTCCCAACAGCGTCAAGGATCAGAATACACCAGCCCATGTCTATGTACACACCAAAGCTATGTCCGGCGAAGCCGTATCCTTTCAAGTTACTACTCGAAGAACCCCCCATCCACGGGGTTTTCAGCCGGCTACCCCAAGAATGATTCACGGCCATCACGACGAGCAAACCGCGCTGGAACTCGAGGCTTCCGAGCCCCGGAAGTTCTCTTTAAATGCACATCACAAACAACAAAGATTGACATGTGGTCAGTGGGTGTCATCCTTCTAACTTTGCTGGGACGTCGGTTCCCCTTCTTCAACTCTGCCGACGACATTGATGCGATGATCGAAATGTCGAGCATCTTCGGCACCAAACGTATGAAGACTGCAGCAGCAATGCATGGACAGATTTTCGAAACAAATATCCCAACCATTGGCGAGAAAGGCTACAGCTGGGAGAAGCTGGTGAAATGGTCCAGCTGTGTGGAAGATTTGACGGAAAGCGAGCAGCAAGCGACACGCCTCTTGTCTGGACTGATGGAATTGGACCCGTCTAAGCGCCTCAGTGCCGCGGACGCCCTGCAGCATGAATTCTTCACGGATCCTGTACACCATGACGTGGAATGGGGAGGTAACCCAGAAGAAAGCGCAGAATCTGGAGAAGAGGAGGAGGAAGATGATGCAGATGAGGTCGCCATGCTGTGAGATCCAAGACTATTTGTACGATATGTGAACATGGATTTTATGCCATACACTGCCTAACACTTTATTCATGACAATGAAGCAGCCTTCGCGTGACTTCAAACAACCCCGCAGTATGCTTATCTATTGTATATGTAATACTAGCTCGCCTCTCCGAAATCGTAATGCCCGGTCTCCGCAGCATGCTTCGTAGCACCCCTCTCTCCAGTGAATGTGCCTCCGCAGATGTTACAGCGAACAGTAAACCCAGAAGTGTCCGTGTAGTAGTGCTTGCTTTGCAATACCCGGCACAATTCTTTGGCCTTTTGCAGAACAACCGGATCCACGGCCTCAAAGATCTTTGTGTCTCCATGCGGCAGTGGGTTGGCACGAGTATAAGGTGGGCGAGAGGGGGATAGCGCAAGGACATCGTAGTGAATCCCCGAGTACACCACAATACACCGCGTCGGTGCTCCCTCATTAAATTGGAACATGTTTAGAGTCTGTACATCGATGGAGCATATCTCGATATTGAAGTATTCGCTGAGAATCTTGAGCTCGATGGCGCCACCCCATGAGTCCTCGTTCTGGATCCAGGTGCAGTATTCGTCCGGCTTTTTGCCCAAAATTGCCGCCGTATATTCCGACGGATTTGATTGAATGGCTCCTGCAACAATCGATCGTAGCTCAACCATCGTGTCCATATCGCCCATGACTGCAGCGCCCACTGCTCGGAAAAGGCACGAGTTGTCGTCGGGCATCACCCGGAGAACGAACGTCCCGGCATGATCTGGGGAGGCGATTTCTGGTGGGTCTTCGGCGGTGTTC